CGCAATATACACTTCAGCATTCTTTACAATAGCCAAGTTGTGGAAACAACCTAAGTGTTTACGGATGGATGAGGAGATTTTAGATAGACAGACTGAATATTACTCACCCCCACCCTTGCCAAAAAATTAAACATTTTCGGTCCTCCCTGGTGGCGCAGCGGGTTAAAGCACAGCATTGAGAGGCTAAGGCCACTTCCTCATGAGTTCGATCCCCGCCTGCCCCAGAGGAGATCACATGGCTCCGCAGACCTTTTCTGACCGGCCCGCTGCTCCCCTCAGCAGTGTACTTCATCGATCTGTCTGTTCTGCTCCCCACTCTGTCTCTGATGAAGCCTCTCGCTGCCCCTGCACCTCTGGCCTATACCCCAGTTCTGTATGCACAAATAAATAAATCTTTAAAAAGTTAAACATTTTCATTTGTGACAATAAGAATGGACCATGAGGATATCATTCTAAGTGAAATAAGTCAGAAAGACAAGTAATGCCTGATTTCACTTTTATGTGGAATTTAAAAAATCCCCACAAAACCAAATGCATAGGAACAGAGAATAAAATGGTGCTTCCCACAGGTGAAATGAGTGAAGGGGGTGAAAAAGTAAAAATGTTAGTTATAAAATAAATAACTCCTAGCATGGTGACTAGAGTTAATAACACTGTGTTGCATGTTTGAAAGTTGCTTAGGGAATGAATCTTGTTTTCACAAGAAAAAACATTTTTGTAACCATATATATTATGACAGATGTCAGTCTTACTGTGGTGCTTATAGTGCAAAACATGTAAATATCTAAACATTATGTTATTACTTGAAAATAATATTATTTGTCCATTATACCTCAATTAAAAATTAAGTTAAAATTTAAAAAAGAGGTTCACATGTGAATGTTTCATCTCCAGGAACTATTCTTTTAGCAGATCAGTTATTTTAGTAAGTATACAGGATGGTTTGCTGCTGTCCCCTTATTTAATATCAAGTTGCCAAGAATACACAAGTTCCAAACTAAATCTTCAGCTCAGGCTTGCTCCACGGTGGTACTCCCAGCATTTGGGAGGACTCAGTTCTCCTTTGCACAGGGTCATCTGGTATGTGTCGGGAGGTTCAGCATCTCAAAATCCTATTTATTAAAATGCCAGTGAACCCTGAGGTCTTTTCAACAATACCCCCTCCCAAACACACATTTCCAAATACCCCTAGGTAACCCCACTAAGTTAAAGACAATGGGGAACCCATTCCCATTCCCTACACCCATTCCAAAATGAATAAAGGGTAAACAGATAACATCAACACATTTTTGTCCAAAACAAAATAGAAATATACTCCTATATATATATACATATGTGTGTGTGTCTGTGTGTGTGTATACATGTATGTATATATAAATACTTGTCAGAAGTAAACAAAAGTTTGCAAATCTATATTTTTTGTAAAACAAAAAAGCTATGCAAAAAAAGGGTTGGAAAACAATATTCCTTGGTTGGTGCGAATATTTGTGATTTTTATTTGTTCTTTTAGCTTGTTCATATTTTCTTTTCTAAAAGCAGTTTCTGTTCTGGTGAACAAAAGGGGACCCTTCCACCACCTGCTCCCTTCACTACTCCAGTTCTTGGTTTGACTTTTGGAGGGTGGAGAGTTGACCCCCACATAGAGCTGACCCCCACTAGTCTCTGCCCATGCAGCATGCCATTAGCACTTCATCACATAATCATCCAGCCATATAATTCTAAGACTCTTTCAAAGAGAGCAAGCTGTACTGGAATAGGATAGGTGCTCAAACAAATGTTTGCTGATATGAATCTTTTTTAAAATCTTAACGGGCCAGATTTTTACCAACAGATCCTCTAGATTTAACATCACTTACACCCATTTGTTCTCAGCCAGGGACCCCAACCCACTGCCAGGAAATTGACCAATATGTACATACGTGTCTGATTACCCGAATAGCAGGGGAGGGGATGCTGTGTGAGACTGGCATCTAATTGGTAGTGTAGAGGTGCTGTCCATCATTCTACAATGTGCAGGAAAGCCCCAGAACAAAGGGTTGACCAGTCCCAAATGTCAATGGTAACTAGGCTGAGGAAACCTGTTCATCATTTACATCTTTTACCTTTTGCACAGTTTCTTAAAAATGTCCCATGTTCTTCTGGAGAACTAGCTAGTATAAATTTGTCACCACAGAGTTCCTAAGAGACAGAACTGTTTGAATCTAAAAAGAACATGAAACACTACAGATGATACCAGTTGTTCGTCAGGACACTCTGACTTTGGCTCTCGCTCTGCTATAACAGGACTCTCTGGATGATGGGAAGCATCTCACTGGCAGTGAGCAGAGGTAAAGTGAGCAAACTATCTGATCAGCTTCTAGTCCAGTCATTAAAAAACACAAGATGAATACCTTCCTGTTCTGGCATCATCTGGTATATTTGGCATTTTCCACACTATTTTAAGAAGGTTGAGTTTTATAGCTAGTAGATTTTCATGGACTTAAATGTGCATATTCAAGATTACCTTCTTAAATGAGAGATGACTGTTGTTTGTATTATATTTAATTGAAGGCATTTCTCAGAAGAAATAGAATAATAAGAGTGTCATCTGAAGGTACAATCCCAACCCCATGATCAGGGAGTAAAATGAAAGGTTCCTAACAAAAATGAAAGCACATTACTTTCAACCCTAACCAGTTTTTAGTATTTTGCCTCCAGCACAAAGCATTTTAATGTGCACTGTAAGTCCTCGATAGAAAAATGGTTTTTCTCAAGTCAGAGACAGGTAACATGTTATTAAATATCAGAATTTTTGTTACTGAAAGGCAGCTAGCATTCTGAATACTTTCTAATCTTAGATTACACTATACAGCTTTTCAAAAATTTTCAACCCCATAAGCAGTTCCACAAGTAACAAACTTCAAAAGAACTCACAATTAAAAGATTGGAAGTCCATTTGTTTCATGCAACACATTCCTTCAAACACCTTTAATATGTATAGATCCACATTTTATTAAACAAATAGATTTCTCCACATAGCTTGAAGAGATCTCCTTTCTCTAGAGTACAATTTCCCTTTCTAATCATCTATGTCATATAGGTTTGAATTAGTGTAGGGAATAGAGGAAACCATCCATGGAACAAGCGAATTAGAAGAGCTGTGCATATCCTTTCATCTGACATGATTCAAACTACTTGTTTAATAGCATTAATCTTTTTTTTCCCCCAAAAACAAATCAAAGAAAGTTGTTTTGTTTCCCAAAGGCATTCATTTCAGATGAGTCAAGTGGCCTTCAAAGTTACCATCAAGCGCTTACTCTTGGAATTGGTGAATTTAACCAAGGCCCTACCTTCAGCAATTGTTTGTTCTCTGGGGCCAACAGCAATTTTGATTTTTTCTGAATCTGTATATCAGAGAAAGATGTTTAATGGTCTCAGGGAAAATCTTTTTAAGGAACTGAAAATGGTTTTACTTTGGAGAATTTTGGATCCAATTTAACAGGAAGCAAAGTGAACAAAAGAAAGAAGGATCTGTTAGAAGATTCTGGAAATGAGGTTAGCAAGAAAATGAAACAAACTAACAGATGTTCCAGGTATGAGAACTCACTGTTTAAGTACTAGTGGTAGAATGGTGACATCAGACAAAGACATTCAGTCAGCTGCCACCTCATCCGAGTTTCCCGGCAAACTCAATCTCTCCTAAACGTATTCTTTAATACAGTAAAACAGTATTTAAAACAGTAAATATTCCTATTTCTTCCAGTTAATATCTCAATATCCCTTCAGTTCTCATGGAGATTATACTCTGTAAATGTTTCTATCCCACAATATATTTTCTATATGAATCATTAGAGAAGAGATCACAAAGCAGAAGTACCTGTAGGACTTAATAAAGTAACAACAAAGAATTGAGAGGAGACTTGGGTGATCTGGAGAGTTCAAACTGTCTAAAAAGAATGGTGAGCACTCAACTCAAAGGCCAGCATACCTCATTTTTTCAAGATACGAATAGGAACTTCCAAAAACGAAACTTATTTTTAGGTATTAGTAACTACTTCAAAAATTTAAATAATACTTTGCTGATTAAACAAATCCTGCTTGTGAACTTGATCTCACCTGCCAGTTGGCAAACTTAATATTGGGGGGCAAAAATGAGAAATGCTTAATTATAAATAATTTGTTTCTAAAACATTACATCACACCTAAAATCCCTGACTTAAAATACCCAGGCTTTTTAAACTTCAAGATGTCTTTTAGGTATATGCATCTCTGGAGAATGAAGTTTTTATGTGTCAGAGGAGGAGAATAACGGCTGAATAGATAAGATTTTGATATACATGTCTCTTAAAGATACATAGAGAAATTCATGAAAATATCCAACTTACAGAGTTTCTACATCAACATGTGGCTGGTAGAAGAGACAATTTCAAGTACCAAGAAATGCAAAGCTGAGGTTGTATATCAGTGAGAAAAAAGCAGTGAAACAGAAAGAAACCAAGTTGACCTAATCGAGCCCATAATATCTACAGCCGGTGGGCAGTACCAAATATTTCAGGAAATGCCAATGTCTTTCTTTGAAAAGAAAGGCTAAATTAAATATTTAAGCACAGAATATATCATTGGGAAGAATAAGGTGAATTCATATTTCCTCAACCCTCCTTTACAAGGAAACTTAACATGAAGATTCATGGCCAGTGAATTCCCCCTCTCCCTCCAGAAATAAAGTTTCCCTATTTAAGGTTTCAAAGGCAACATTTACGAGAAGATTCTAGATAATCTCCTGCTAACAGCCAATAATGGCAATACACTGTAATTAGCAGTTGTGATGAATGAGCCACATGGGTTCAGTCTCACTCCTCTTCCCTATTTTTCTCTGGGGCCCTGCCATTGTCAACCCATTTAGCGCCAACCTCTTCTCTCCATCAGCCAAGTCAGCCCTTTCTTCTATCTGGAATGAGGAAGGACAGGTAAGATAAAGGACAAAGGCAAAACCACAACTGTTCTCAAGTCAAGAAAGGTACCTGTTCAGGCTTCAGACCTGGCGGAACCCAGGCATATTCCTCCAAGGCACAGCCCGAGTCGTCGTCCGAGGTTGAGTTCCTCTGGAAGTCAAACATGAGTTTGCTGACAGTCTTCTCCATCTCCAGGGGCATCACTGTCACCATGTGCTCCTCCTGAGGGCACTTGCAATGCAGACAGATCTTCCTGCAAGCAGTAAAGGAAGCAGGTGAAAAGGAGGGCGAGGGAAACCATTTCTTCAGCTGGCCTGCCCTTGGTTCCCAAACCGTAAACACATTCCTTGGCAACTGGCTTTTGGCAAAGCAGCCACATGAGTGTTGCACAGCTTGCCAGGCTCTGTAGAAGGCGTGGCACTGTATGTGTGGCAATGTTGGGAAAGCTAGGAGGCCACCAGATGAGCATGCTAAGAAGGTTTAAACATGGATCCCGACCTTTGCTTTTAAATTAGCATTCCAAATTCCTGTCAAAAAATCTTTATTAGATAGAGCACTGGATATGTACCATGACCACAATTCCCTTGAATAATAGCAATAAAAATTAACAGTAGGGCTCTCCCTGGTGGCGCAGCAGGTTAAAGCACAGCACTAAGAAGCTAAAGCCACTTCAGCATGAGTTCAATCCCCGCCCCAGTGGTGACCCATATGGCAGGCAGACCCCTTCTGATCTGCCCGCTACTCCCCTCAGCAGTGTGCTTCATCAGTTGGCCTGTTCTGCTCCCTGCTCTGTCTCTGATGAGTCCTCTCACCTCCCTTGCACCTCTGGCCTGTACCCCAGTTCTGTATGCATAAATAAATCTTTTTTTTTAAAAGATTTATTTATTTGTACATACAGAACTGGGGTACAGGCCAGAGGCTCAGGGGCGGCCAGAGGCTTCACCAGAGACAGAGTGGGGAGCAGAACAGGCAGATCGACGAAGTACACTGCTGAGAGGAGCAGCGGGCGGGTCAGGAGAGGTCTGCCACGCCATGTGGTCACCTCTGGGGCAGGCGGGAATTGAACTCATGCAGAAGTGGCTTTAGCCTCTCAGTGCTGTGCTTTAACCCGCTGCGCCACCAGGGAGGGCCTGAATAAATAAATCTTTAAAAAAATATTTTTCCACCAAACAAATCTGAGACAATCATCTCATGGGGAAGATATTTCACCTCCACTATAAATCCTCATTGATTTGAAATTCTAATTGGCAACAAAAATTTTCTTTACGTAGGTAGATGTACATACATATTAACACACACACATATATGTATGTATGTATATATATATATATATATGGATCATGCAAGTGAATTATTTCAAAAAGTAGCAGCCAAAGATAAATACCTCTCCCCCAAAGTGAACATTTCTCTTTTAAGGTTACCATCTGTTCCCTTTTCCATGACTACAAAAATGATGAAGCAATAAAAAACTTGATGTCAGCCACACAGAAGCATTTAGCTTCCACAGCTAAAATAAAAGAGAAGAAGAAAAAAGAATAGAGGATGAAAATTTTAAGAAAATAATCTGTTCTATGTGGACTCTTATCTTTATGATCAGTTTCAGAAGCACCATACAAAGAGGATGAAACAGCCTAGAATTCTAATCCCCACATGTGCCTAAAGGTTTTGATAACAGCTTTGTTCAGATATAACATACATACCATAAAATTCACCATGTTAAATCGCACAATTCACTAATTTTTAGTATAGTTACAGAGTTGTGAAGCCATCACCACTATCTAATTTTAGAAGATTTTCATCACTTCCAAAGATGCATCTCATGTATGAACGGTAATATCCCACATTCCCTCCCCTCAGGCCTTGACAACCATTAATCTATTTTCTGTCTATCATTTCTCAGTCTTTTACATTTTCCTGGAAGTTTCATTTAAATGGACTCCTATAATGTGTAGTCATTTGAAATGGCTTCCTCACACAGCATGGTATTTTCAAGGGTAATCTGTGGTGCAGCATGTGACAATCTCTCATTCTTTTTTATTGCGTTATATTATTTCATTGTATGGATATACTACATTCTGTGTATTCATTCATCAGTTGGTTAACTTTTGGATTGCTTCCATTTTGTTACCTTAGTGAATAATGCTACTCTGAATATTTATGTACGAGTGTTTTTGCAAGGACATATGTTTTCAATTCTCTTGGGTATATACCTTGGAATGGAATTGCTGGATCATATGGGCATTTCATGCTTAACTTGTTGAGCAATGGCCAACTGTTTTTCAAAAATATCTGAACCCCAAAATATATATATATCCGAACCATTTTACATCCCCATCATCAATGGACGAGTACTCCACTCCAACTTCTCCACATCCTTGCCATACTTGTCATCTTGATTGCTGCCATCCTGGGAGAGATGAAGTGATACCTTGTTGTGGTTTTGATTTATACTTCTTAATGGCTAATTATGTTGAGTATCCTTTTATATATATATATATATACATATATATACTATATATATATGTATATATATATATTTATATTAACACAGACCCTTTTTTTGGGATAACTGTCTATCTAAATCCCTATTTCATTCTTAATTGTCAACAATCTTTCTATTGTTGAATCGTAAGCATTATTAATACAATTTCTGGACTCAAGTCTTCTATCAGATAGATGACTTGCAAGAAATTCCTCTCCTTCCATGAATTTTCTTCATTTTGTTAATGATCTCCATTGAAGCACAAGAATGTTTAATTTTGATGAAGACCAATTTATAGTTTTCTATTATTGCTTGTGTTTTTATCATATGTGAGAAACTACTGCTGACTCAAGGTCAAAAGTATTTATACTTATACCTTCATTTAAGAGTTTAATGGTTTTAGATCTTGTATTTGGGTTTATTACACATTTTGAGAAAGTTTTTGTCTATGGCACAAATTGGGAGCCAACTCATTCTCATATATGATTATCTAATTATCCCAGCACCATTTGCTGAAAAGTATATTCTTTTTCCATTGAATTGTCTCAGCACCCTTGTGAAAAATCAACTGATTGTAAATGTATGAAACCAAGTAATGAAATTGTGAAATCTGAATTATTCAATCTTTTGAAAAATTGTTTTGACTGAGCCTTTGGTTTTTGTATCATAAAATACAAAATTTAGGATTGGCTTGTCAATTTCTACAAAAATTCCAACTGGGATGTTCATAGGGATTGCATTGAGTCTGTAGACCAATTTGAAGAATGTCGCTATCTGAACAATACTGTGTCTTGTATTCCATTAACAAAATGTGTTTTTCCATTATTTCAGTTCATTTAAAATTGTTTCGAAGACAATCTGTAGTTTTCAGTTACAAGTATTTTTTTTTAAGATTATTCCTATTTTATTACTTTTGATGCTACTGAAAATGGAATTCTTTGCTTAATTTCATTTTCAGAATGTTAGTGAAACACAGATGATTTGTATTTTCATCCTGCATCATGTTATGTTGCTGAACTTATGTGTTAACTCTAATAGTGTATGTGTGTACACACACACATTCTTACAGATTTCCTACTAAAAACATCATGTCATTTGTAAACAGAGATTTTTATATCTTTCTTTCCAATCTGATGGCTTATATTTCTTTGTCTTACCTTATTGCCCTGGCAAGAGCCTTCAATACAACAATGAATAGAAGAGAGAAGTGTGAATATCCTTGTCTTGGTTTATATCTTAAGGGAAAACATATATTCTTTCACCATGAAGTATTATTTGTGGGGTTTTAAATAAAAATATCCTTTATCAAAACAAGGATTTTCTTGAATTTTTTTTTTTATGTCAAAAGAGGATTTGGGTATTGTCAAATGTAATTTTTTCTGCACTACTGAGATGATCAGCTGGGTTTTGTCCTTACCCTATTAATTGTGCTGGAATTTTGACACCAATATGTACTGGAAGAAACAAAATCAGTTTAATCCAGTCACTTTATCCTTGTCTGATTCTCCCACCCCCTGCTTTTCATCAAAGTGAAAATATACACAGAATGAATGCACGCTCAGATCTGGTTTGCATCTCAAAGCTCAAAGAAGTTCCACCCAAACCCTGACTTTGACAAATAAAAATAGTCAGGATTCATTTTAACAGTAACTCTTTAGTTAATCAGCTACTGTTCAGAAGTCAGTGGTACTGGGAAGCAGTCAGCTTTTTTTTTTCCTTTCAGAATTTTTAATGACTGTTTATGACTTAAGGGGGAAAAATTTTCAACGTGCTTAAGTAAATTAAGGAAGTTCTTTGATGACTAGTGGCTTTTACTAGAAAGCCATGCTTTTAAAACAAAATGCAGAGGAATTTTTACTAAACTCAGTCCCCAGAATATTCATCAAAGAAACTCATTTACTTAGCAATGCAAGGAACAGCATAATATTTAATGCTGAATGGACATCATCTAAGGACCTGAAGCTCCAAGTGAAGGGAACAGACAAGAGAAGCGAATTGCAGAATTACAGAGCCAGATTCAGAGTGTCACTTGGTAGAAGGAAGGACTACATATGACCTACTATGTGCTCTAGACTGCTCTAGACACTTGAGATACCTACTCAAAACAAAGGACTCTTCCTCCTGGAGCCTACATTATCGGAAAAGAAATGTACAATAAACATAAGAAATCAATCATGTCCTTTATTAAAGGTGTTCAGAATTTCAGAAAGCCAAGAAAGTAAAACAGGATAAGGGGGTCCAGGTTTGAGTGGGGGTCAAACTGAGCAGAATGTACAGCTTTTGACTTCCTTAGAACTCAGATTTGCATACCAGGCATCCAATAAATGAAATATCATTCCACTTTCCAGGGAAGAAAACAAAGGCTGAGAAAGCATTAAGCAACACCGTCAGTAAACCCTAAGTAGGCAGCAGAACAGATGCAAAATCACATCTCTCTGACCCCTGATCAAACAATTGCCTCCAGAAGACACACCTGTCTTCAACCACAAACTGCCCTTTACCCTGAAAACAAATATTTTCAGAAAAATCAAAACCAAGGATGAAAAAAGGAAAAGAAGGCAAAAGTGTTATCTTGAAGCTGCGGAGCCATCTGTATTTTCTGTAGCTGCCTGCCTTCCACTCCTCATTTATAATTAACAAGCACACCCGCGGCAAGGTATTTTTATTTGCAAGGAATTTTCAACCTCTGAGTTATTCCATGACAACCACTGGAAAGACTAATTTAATAACCTCTGCTTACAAATAGGGACCCCCAAGATCCAGATGTTCAG